TCCGGGCGGGGGGTTGCGTGCTCAGCGGGGGGTGGGTGTGTGTGCACTGCAGTCGCTTTTGAATGAGGGGGTGTGAAGAAATTGTGTGTTGCGAGGGACGACGACAGGTGAGGAGGATAGGCGCTGTATGCGTCTAGTGGTGGTTTCCGTGTTGTGGTGCTGGTTTGGTTAGAGTTAGTTTGAGGTGATACAGCCCTGAAAGACGTAACCTGACTCAAAGCCTGACGTGTGCTGTGGGGATGCATAACACAGAGCAGTCCTTGAAGTGTTTCATTTCGTTTTGTCTGTTCTTGACTATATCTTGAGTTCTTAATTTTATCATGATCTCTCACTAAATTTAATGCTAAGTGATAATAATGATAAAGGGTATTTAAGTTTTTATCATGTGTTAGGCACCAGGTCGTTGGCCTTGAAGCCTTATTATACATATTGATTCAAAACTGTATCTTAAGTTCTGGCAATACTATCTAGAACTAACAGTAGTTACCTGGCACATTTTAATGTCTACTACTGTTACTAATATAATGAATCCAAAAGTATTTTTTTAACTTAGCAATGATATTCTTTGATCAGTGACTAAGTTACAATAAAACTAATGGTGTATTTATCTATATTTTTATAGGTTTTGCTGAGAACAACAGCAGGAGATATAGATATAGAATTATGGTCAAAAGAAGCACCAAAAGCATGTCGAAATTTCATCCAGCTTTGTATGGAAGGTAATGACTGAATGGGATAGGAGTTGTTGAAATTACTTCATATGCAATCTCTGTGCCTTTTTTGTAAAATAGAGATGTTATGTTTCAACTTTAATATGTTAACGAATTTATTTGTATTTAGATGATATTAACTAACACTCAGACAATGTTTTTCAAGGTTATTAAGGAACCCAGTGGAAAAAAAGTAAAAATTTTATTGGTTTTCTCAAATGTAGCAGATGACGTAGTATCACTGAAAAGTTGTATGTCATAAGCTTGGGAAGGCTTATTCTCAGCAAGTCTGTACAAAGTATAACTACTTCCTTAATGTATGTATGAAATGGCGATGATGCAATATTGGACATCCTCCAAAATTCTCATTTCTGTATCACCATCCAAGTAAAGCTAAGTTTTCATTCCTTTTGCTTTCTTATGATCTCATAACCCTTATCTAATAGACAGATAAAATAAGATAACTTAGGGAGCAAAATGTACCATGTATTTCATTCTGTGAAAATGATCAGTTTGGGTACAGTGTAGGTGGTGAAACGGGTGACACCTGTGTTCCATGCTGGTGAGTGAAAATGCTAGTCATTTGCTGTATGGATATGGCTAATGATGTATGTGAGATGTTGGCTGGGACAGAGAACAGTAGTTTTAGCTCTCCTTTTAAATTGACGTATATTGGTAGTTATCATTCCGGTGGTAAAACTTAAAAGCTGAAAAGAAAACAATTCACCAATATCATCTTGTTGGTGATGTGCAGTGCCTTTTGCAACAGAAACATATGACACCACTTTTTTTTTTTCATAAATGTCATCAGCAATACTTTGTAGCTCGGATACAGTCACTCTGAGCAAGAAGGTGGAAGAGGAGGGAACCCAGTGGAAACAGCAGAATCCAGTTACAGTACTTGCTTTCTGGAATTTCATTCTCTGGACATCTCTGCATAATCTATATGAAAGTTTGATTTTGAGACCACTTACATGTATTTAATAACATCTTCTTTTTTTTTTTTTTTTTGTTTAGAATATTACAATAACACGATATTTCACAGAGTAGTGCCTGGCTTTATAGTGCAGGGAGGTGATCCCACTGGTACTGGATCAGGTGGAGATTCAATCTATGGAGCTCCCTTCAAGGTACGTATCTGTATACCTTATGCATTCATTTTTGGTTATTCTCTATCAGTTGTTCTTCCTACTGTGTTAGGTTGTGAGAAGACAAGCCTTGTATTAGAAATGCAACATTATATATGTACAGTAATTGCTTTCACATGTTGCTTCAGTGATTTTGAATGTCTTTTTGAATTGAGAGTTCTTAAATCTAGCTGTTCTGATATTATGATAAATATATAACCTTATTAGCATTAACTTCGTGAGGAAACATAGGGAGAGGGAAGAGTGAAGAGTAGGTGTTGGTATGTGGCAAACTCAGATGCAGAAATGTACATTGTTTGCGCACATTGTATCTCATTTAGCAAAGGTCTCTGAAGTTGTATATGTGTTCATTGGTATTATTGATACCGGCATGGCTCATCTCTTAACCGGGAGGCTCTGATCCTGAGTGAAGCTACACATGCACAGCAGCTGTGTTCTGTTCTGCCTGATTGTTTTATTTCAGATGAGACAGGCGTCTCTAACTCGTGACTCAAGCTGCATAGCCTGTCTCTGGGCCTTCTGTCTCCCTGCTGCTAGAGTAGACTCATGCATATAATACAAACGTGAAGTTTGTGGGAGAGATTGGTACTTGAGCAGAACAAAACAAATATTACCAATATTGTAGTAACATCACTGCTTAAAATTAGTGGTATCTCAATCTTGCAGTGTTTAGAATTGTGATACTACCATGGTGTTAATATATTACTCATCGTTTTCACTTTGCTTTGAAAGTAGTCCTATTTTGTCGTCTTAAGGTCCAGAAAGTGTTCTTCCTATGGATTTTTGTAATACTGTACTATTACAGGCTTTTATCGAGCTTCCAGTTATTTTACACGAATTAGGATTTTTCCTCTAAATACAGTGGTTAACAAGAATGATAGTTTTACAAGAAATGTATGAAATCTAGTTACTTTTAGAAATGCTTTGTATTTTTTTAATATGGGGGCGTTTATAAATTCCAGCAAAAATAATGAGTAATGATTATTAGGCAATGATTGGAAAAAGAGAAAGTTAACAAGATAGAACTTAGAGTTTTTATTAAATGATGTCTTTCTATTATTGATATACTAGTTTCTCTTTTTTTTCTTTCGGTATTTGTTGGATATGTGTTTGTGGTTTCTTTTGAAAGAAGATTATTCACTTGTTTGCATTATTATAGGCACTAAGAAGAAAAAATATTAACTAAAAATAATCTTTGCTGCTGCAAACAGAAGCTTTTAAATACAATTGCGGCATTAAGCTTCAAAAGACTGGTTTTATTACTATCTGAATTTAAAAGAAAATTAACAGCATATTTTCTGTGTGTGCATATTGATGTAAATAAGCCATAGTTAAAGAAGTGGAAGAAATAGTTACATACTTAAATCATGTTCTTTTCTCTTCTGTCTTTGCCAGGATGAGTTCCACTCACGATTGCGATTTAATCGAAGAGGTCTTGTTGCTATGGCAAATGCTGGGCCCCATGATAATGGGAGTCAATTTTTCTTTACGCTGGGTCGTGCAGATGAACTTAATAACAAGCACACAATCTTTGGAAAGGTCTGCTACACGGACTAGAGTCCCAGTTTGAGTTTGACAGAAGCTACTATAAGTTTCTCTGTATTCAAAGGCTATTTTAGTGGTGTTTGCCGCTACGTACATTTGAAATCTGTTTCATTGCTTTCTAAGCTGTCTGTGCTCTCTTTGTTTCCCATGTCTGGTAGGAATGTTTCCATAGGTTGTTCCCGTAATTATCTACATTGCTGTTGCTATTCTTCTAAATTATATTTTCGTGTTGTGCTTCCTTTGAGTAATCTTACTAATATTATTATGGCTCTGTCTTATTAATCAGTTCATCTAATACTAGTGACATTTTAGAAAACTCTGTTTGTAAATTCTAATTATCCGAGAAGAATCAGAAAAATGAAAAACATAAGATGAGTTTACCACTCTCATGATTTACTTGAAAGAAAATAAACCAACTGGTTTTTTATTTCATGGTGTCTTTTGTTTTCCCGTTTCACAGCTCACAGTAAGAATTTGACATCTTCCCCTGCATACGCTCTCAAAAATGCAGGTTTAGCTACCTGTAGTCCTTCAACTTAGTCTGTTAAATTAAAAAAAACCCCACAAACCTTTGTACATTGTACTTGCTGTCTTTTAGAAGCCTTACATGCTTACAGTATTTCCTGTATCATTTGTATTTTCAAAATTCTTTACATAATAGTTGCCTTGCATTTTGCAGAACAAGTAACAAAAACTTTAGGCAAGGACTTTCAAACCTTTTTTATAAATTTGGCAGGTAACAGGGGATACGATATATAACATGTTGCGCCTGGCTGAAGTAGAAGTTGACAAGGAAGAGAGACCTCTCAGTCCACACAAAATAAGAAGTAGTGAGGTGAGTATATGCTGGTTTGAAATTTGAAATTTTAAATTATTTTTTTCATAGCATTCAGAAAACTCTGTTCTAAAACTTGGCATGTCTTTTTATATATTGTGTTAAAATATTGAATAATTTAATTAAAATACTTATTAAAGATGTGTCTAAAATATTACTTTTTTAACAGGTTTTGTTTAATCCTTTTGATGACATTGTTCCAAGACCGAATAGAAAACTGAAGAAGGACAAACCAGAAGAAGAAACTAAAAAGTCCAAAGTAAAAGGCACAAAGTAAATATATGCAACATAAGCGGTCGTTAATTTTCTTTCACCTTTAATTTGCAGCTTGGTAATTTTCTATTCCTGCTTTTGAAACACAAGGCTTTACCAAAATGCACAGAGGAATGTTCTCTAATCTTAGCAAAATCTACTTCCCTGTTTCTGAAGAGATCGTACAAATCTAGTTTCTCTGACTGAAGTGGTTACTATGCATCAGCTGAGCTGCATGAGTTTCATGCATGCTGATAGTTTGTTGTAAAAGAGGGGTGAAAGGTAGCTTAAGCCTTTCCTGTGAGCAAGAATGTGACTTTTGTGACTGAGATGACAAGTTAATATGTACAAGTAACTAGGTCATAGCTCAGTTGTTGGAGGTTTTTGAACTTGTTTTATCAGCTACCATTTCTCTCCCACTAAAATACTTAGCAAAAGGCAGGCATTTTGATATTGGAAACTTCAGTTTCTGTGAATTAGATTTGGTAGTTATAAACATGCAATGAAAAGTAATAGGAGATCTAAAGTGTGTGTATGCTGTCAGTTCTGTTGGACAGAAATAAACATGTCCACAGCAACTGACTGGTTCCGACATAGTGTAAACAATTGATTTTGGGAAAAAAAAATAAAGGATCATTATTTCTTTTAATTACATCCTGTGAATGTGTGTCCATTTGACGCCTTTCGGAGCTGTCATATCTTGAAAATTTTGTTTGGCACTTGAATGTTGCTCTGTTGGGGAAAAAAAAATTGAAAAAATGCAACTGCTCTGTTTTCAGAACTGTCAACATTTAAAAGTCTGTGAAAGTTAGTCAAGCCTGAATTTCTTAAATTCCGTCTTACCATTTTCTAAGTGATGCTTAGCTATCCTGACTTTTGTCTCAGGAATATAAGAGTATGCTTCTCTAAATATTCATGTTTTTTTGCAAAACAACATGTTGTAGTTGTTTGAAATTGGTACATTTAGCAGGACAAAAAGTTTTAAAAAAAATTGCATACAATATGAAAGGAATATTGTTAAAGTTTATGGAATGTTAATAAGACAGTATTTAATGTTTTACTAGAAAATTTATTTTCTCTCTTAAAGAAATTTTAACCTGCTTTCCTTTGGGGAAGAAGCTGAAGAAGAGGAGGAGGAAGTCAATAGAGTTAGTCAGGTACTGTACCAAACAATCCCCATTTTTCTTTTCAAGTTAAAACTACCTTTTCTGCATGTTTGTGAAAAGCTTTAAAGTTCTTAATCTTCTTCTTATATTTGAGTTTTGAACAATAATACTAGAATTACTTCAGTTCTTACCATTCTACTATTTTAACATGTTGAAAAAACAGAGGTTTTTAACTTCTGTAAGTTTGAAGGTGCCTTCAGTTACTACGTGATATTTTTACATTTCCATAAACAAAGTTTCATACTTCATAGCATAGATCTATGTCTGCTGTTTAAAATTCATGGAGTTGATAGGTACTTTATTCTTCCTCACTTCCTTAATTATAAAAGTGTGATTTGATGGTAAAATACTTGAGGTTTGAAATAGTTCAACTTGTTCATTGCCAGTGCATTCTTAGCTCCATTTTCTTAAGTATATCCATTCTGTGTGCAAAATGAGGTGGGATTATTGTGGGGAAAATAGTGCATTATCATAATTAAATATTGCACTATTGTGAATTGTCCACGTTCACAGAACTAGGGTTGCATAGCTAGTCTTTGATCTAACATTTCCTTATCTGACTTTGCCACTTAAATAAGGTTAATTTAAAAATTTCTTTAATAAGTTGTCATTCTTATTTCTACTGCTGACCAAATTATTTCTCTAGAGCCCTAGGCTTTCTCACTTATTTGTACGGTTCGGGTACCTACCTGCTTCAGTTAGTCGTCAGACTAGATGGTGCTGAGTCCTGTACCACATAAGTGAAAAAATGATCCTTAGTCCTCAGGATTTAGTTAAAATACAAAAGGCAACAGTGAATAATGATGGACAATGTTACAGTGAGATGGTATTGCTAAGGATGATAGTAGAAGTGTATTACAACAGTAGTTTTAACTATTTTTCTTTCCTGTTTCAACTTACCAGTCAGACTAACTATACTTTTTTACATGCTCTATACATGTAAATGTAGTACATAACTACACATTTTTTAACATGCTCATCTGCAGTTCTCTTCTTGGTATATGTCTGTTTTTTAATATTGCCTTTAACTCAGTTGCTTTGATTTTCTTCCCTTTCATGCCAAATATTTGCTTTTCAGTTTAAAATTATGTAAATAGAACACCTCTTTCATGACAAGCCCAGTTTCAGTGTTGTCATGCTGTCTTCAATTCAGCCTTAAAATCTCATCCTCATATTTGTCCTGACTAAATTCTGGACTAGCTGTAGCTGGGAAAATAACCAAATCAACTGTTTATGAGGAATTTCTATTCATTCTTTACAAGAGAATGAAACTTTTTTCCAAACCTCATTGCTTGTTTCTAATAGGTTTAGATCAGTATCTCTATAGTTTTTAATCTTGATTAAGTTGAAGTATGTGAACTTCAACACCAACTTTCATTCTCTGTTTTCCATAAGAAAAATTGGAAGTCAGAGTTAATGGGATTCGTTGACATCGACAAATTCAGAATCTAACTGTGAACTTTTTTTGATTGCTAGATGCAGTAAGTCTTGCTTGTTTCAACATAAAAAGGGTATACTTAAATAATGACTGAGGTTGAGAGGAAAGTCTGCAAGTAACTGACGAATCCTCTAACAGATCTGGGAAAAGGGGAAAAAAAAAAAAGGAACATTTTCTATTAATTTTTAGTGCAGTGAGGCTGAGGCTAAAATTGTGTAAAGAGTAAAGGAAAACACTGTGTATCAGGATGAAATTTTTACATTATTTAATGGTTTCATGTTTACATGTGAAAAATAGGAATTCTTGTCTTAGTCACATCATAGTAACCAAGTAAGTACTGAATTTAAGAATGTCTCCCTACGTCTATTCTCCATTTTCCCCATTATGAACAATTTTCTGCTCTGGACTTGTTCAGCTTGCACTACACTTCGTCTAAGTGAGGGAATATATTTTACCTTTGCTGCAATGCATCACCAGATTCTTGTCCCTGAGACTGTACAAAGAAGGGCAAGAAGGATAACTGGGGATATGGATCATGGTAACTTTAAAATTAAAAAAAAGGGAGAGAGGGAGGGAAAGATGAGAACGATTATGCCCTATTTCTTACAATATGAAAGTTGAGACACAAGCGAGCAAATAAATATACAAAGAAGAAGTGTTTTTCCCTCTTGGAATTTAAGTTGGAACGTTTATGCCACAGAACATGATTAAAGTCAGAAGTATAAATATTTTCAAAAAGAGATTAAACAAGGGATTAGGGCCATTGGTGTCTTTTAAATGTTACAGGTCAAGTTGTGTCTTCTGTATCAGGAGACTCTCTAAACAGTTATATTTTAGAGAGTATGAATCTTAGAAAAAAAATTTATGTATTCCAGGAGGTTATAGAAGGCAAAGATCACAGGATTAGGGAAGTCTGTGTCAAGGAGTGACAAGAGCAGAATGGCTGCATGAGGGAGGGTGAGTGAGGATGCAAGAGTGATTCCCGTACAGGCAGTGCACTCACCAACATGGGCACAATCCCACAGGGTCTGGATACAGGAGGCAGAATTGGTTGCTGGTAACAGGGTCCATCAACAGTCCTGGACACGGCAAGCAATGACCAAGATCAAGGTCCCCATTCAGAGTCCGGTCAGGAGCAGAAAGAGACAGGGCTGGAGACAAGTCTGCAATGGGGCTCCAACAGGCCTATCCAGAAGATGGGGTTAGACACAGTTACGCCTCTGACATAGCTCAGGCAGTAAGTGGATTCTCAGGCCTGAGCTGAAATGGTGCCCATAGGCAGAGGAGCTCCAGGTAAAACTCCTCAAGGCCACTAAGGCTGTTAGTGCATTTGGGGACCTGACAGTGGGTGCTCCACTGGTTGTTGATTAGCGTTTAAACTGAAGCTTTCAGTGTCCAAACTGCCCATTTAATTGTTTGTACTTGTTTGGAGCAGTTTGCAAAGGTGATAAGCACTTGTCTTATGTTTTATCTAGCTCCTGAACGCACACACAACTTGTTGAAGGAAGTAATTTTTCATGTTGCTGAATGCATTAGTCTTTTTTTTTTCCACATAATAAAAAATTGAAGTTGTGTTTAAATGAGTAAGATTTTATTATCCACACAACTACTGTCTTCCTGAAAGGATTATAAAATGTGGCTGCAATGAAGACATTCAGGTCACAACACAAACTGTTTCTGGAACAGCAATTTTCAGTCTGAAAATTAAGTGTACTTTTTGGATTAGCATAGGGAATGCTTTCTTACTGTAGCCTTTCTGCCTGAAGGTCTTATGTGTTGTTAGATTTATTTGACTGCTTGCTGCAGTAGATGATTCCTACATGATGGTTGTTAATTGCTGCATGAAGGTTGTTAATTTCTTTTTCCCCCCCTAGGGATCTAATTGGTGTTCTACCAGTTGATAAGTACTGCTTTGTACATGGTCGTGCTTCGACTTGTCATATGCCATTATTGGAAAGTCAAGTTCTTGCCTCTTCATTCACTCAAGTATACATGTGCTAGACCATGTATTGTTATGATGTGTAATGATTGTGATGATTAAACAATCTCTTTTTTTTTTTTCTGTCTTTCCTTTAAAATTAAGTGCATTGCTATTGCAAAAATACTTTTAAAATCCATGGGGTCAGTTTGATGCTCCTGTTTCTGGAATGCCTTATCTGTTCTTCTGCTCTTAGAAGTGTTTATGCTTACTGATTAGGTAAAGCTAACAAGAAACAAGTTTTCTTTTTCTTACCATTATCCTTCTTCACCATCTGTTCTCTCAAACACCGAAATTTGTAATACTTTTTTTCTTTTCTTTTTTTTAACAGAGCATGAAGGGAAAAAGTAAAAGTAGTCATGATCTACTGAAGGATGATCCACATCTAAGCTCAGTTCCTGCTGTCAAAAGGTTAATATGTGATTTCCAATTTCCAGAACAGATTTACTTTCAGGATGTTAGGCCTGATTAGCATGGTGTGTACTCATTGTTTGTCTGTTACTCTTTAAGTAATTGAGAATGGCAATGCTGGATCAGACCAAATGTTCCTGTCACCCACTATGCTGTCACCAACATTGGCCATCAGTGGATGCCCAACAGAGAATAAAAGCAGGGCAAGCATAATGTTTACCTGAGTAGTCTCCCAGCCTCCGTCTACTTCCAGCTCAGAGGACTGTCAGAGTTTGATGTGGTTCATCTATTTAGTAATCCTTAATAGAGCTCTTGTCGAAATACTTATTCAGTCTTTTGTAATATTGTTTACATTGACACCCTCCTGTCTGCTGCAGGAAGAAGTACCTCCCCTTTTTGTTCTGAACCTGGCTGCTACTGGCTTCATTTGATAAATTCTACCTCTTGTACTGGAAGAGACAGTGAGCAGTCAGTCCCTTTATACCTCTCTACCACAATCTCTTCTTAGGCCATCTCTTTTCTAGCTGAAACTTTTAAAGCCTACTCAACTTTTCTTCACACAGAAGTTGTTCTGTACCTTTGGTTATTCTTGTTGCTCTTCTCAATCCTGGTTCTGTTCTAAAATATCTTTTATTAAAAATCAGGTGAATCATAAATCTATATGCTTGCATAAAGATGGTCTCTGTTTTATTCTTTATTTCTTTTTAATACTTCTTAACTTCTGATTTTCTTTTTTAACTGCTGTTGAGTATTTAGATGAGTCAATTCCATGAAAATATATCAACTCCAAGAATGTGCTTATCATAGAATAGTTTGGGTAGAAAGGGACCTTTAAAGGTCACCTAGTTCATCCCCCCTGCAATTGGCAGGGACATCTTCAACTAGATCAGGTTGCTCAGAGCCGCATCCAGCCTGGCCTTGAATGTTTCCAGGAATGGGGTATCTACCACCTCTCTGGGCAACCCGTTCCAGTGTTTCACCACCCTCATTGTAAAAATTTTCTTCCTTATATCCAGTCTGAATCTACTCTCTTTTAGTTTAAAACCATTACCCCTTGTCCTATCACTACAGGCCCTACTAAATAGTTTGTCCGCATCTTTCTTATAAGCTCCCTTCAGGTATTGAAAGGCCACAATAAGGTCTCCCTGGAGCCTTCTCTTCTCCAGGCTGAACAGCCCCAACTCTCTCAGCCTTTCCTCATAGCAGAGGTGCTCCATCGCTCATCATTTTTGTGGCCCTCCTCTGGACCCACTCCAAGAGGTCCATGTCCTTCCTGTGCTGAGGACTCCAGAGCTGGACGCAGCGCTCCAGGTGGGGTCTCACCAGAGCAGAGTAGAGGGGCAGAATCACCTCCCTCGACCTGCTGGCCATGCTTCTTTTGATGCAGCCCAGGAGATGGTTGGCTTTCTGGGCTGCGAGAGCATGTTGCTGGCTTATGTCCAGCTTTTCATCTGTCGGTACCCCCAAGTCCTTCTCCTCAGGGCTGCTCTCAATCCCTTCATCCCAGCCTGTACTGATACCAGGGGCTGCGCCAACCCATGTGCAGGACTTTGCACTTGTCCTTGTTGAACCTCCTGAGGTTCACACAGGCCCACTTCTCGAGCTTGTCCAGGTCCTTCTGGATGTCATCCCGTCCCTCAGGCGTGTCAACCACGCCCCTCAGCTTGGTGTCATCTACAGATTTGCTGAGGATGTACTCAATCCCACTGTCTGTGTCATTGAGGAAGATATTCAACAGTACTGGTCCCAGTACGGACACCTGAGGGACACATCATGATCAATGATGGTCAGCTGAGATCTCTTTGTTCTGTATGTAGGACTTCTTTTCCTCATGTGCATAGCTTTACTTTTACTTACTTCAAATTTCGCCTGTCATTTTATTGTCTCATCATTCAGGTCGTTCTGCAATTCTTCAATCTGCTCTAGGCTTTACTATCCTGGGTAACTTAGTATTACCATAAAACTCAGTGACCTGGTTGTTTGCCTGCTTTGTTACTGAGCTCACTGAACAGCTCAAGCCCCAACACAGACTACTGTGTATATACACTAGTGATCTTCCTCCATTGCAAGAAGTAATTGTTTGCTTCTAACTTTTGTTTCCTGTCTTTTAACGACCTATTTGCGCATGGGCTTTCCCATCACCCCAGCACTACTTAGTTTCCCTAAAAACCTTTGATTAGAGATTCTGTTTGAGTCAAACGTATCAGGGGGATCATCCACAACCCGTGTAGCCCCTTCAAAACACTCCCAGAGGTTGGTAAGGCAGTTCCCTTTATAGCCATGTCACAAATCCCGGGTAGGTCATTCTACCTCTTACTGTGGCTTCTACTTGTTCAGGACTGACATCGGAATTACAGACCTGGATGCATTCTAAATATTTTCTTTAATACTTATAAATGTGGTTTTGTTTTTTGTTTTTTTTTTGTTTTGTTTTTTTAAAGTATAATCTTCCCTTAAGAAATACGTCCACAGAGAGTTTTCTGGATTAATTTTTTAAGTGAAACAAATGTCATTGATTCCAACAAATTTGTGATTTCCTTGATGACCTTGATTACTTATTGATGGCTTAGAGTGCACCTCAGAGTCTTAACTTTGGGGACTCTTTTAATATTCCTTGCTTTGTTTCTCTAACATAACTTGTTTTTTAAATTGTGGGATGGAAAAATCTTCACGGGTCTTTATTATTAGTTTGTGACAATTAACAGTGGATATGTTAGGCTTAGTATATGCAAATAGATTCCTTTTTTAATACATGAAACTGTAGCTGTGTAACAAATAATTTTGATGTTAAGCTTAATTATCAACATAGTGCATGTTGAACATGACTATATAAAGAAGGCTTTCCAAAATATAGGCTATTGGTAATGAAACACTAGAAATTGTTTGATCAATGAGATCAAAAACATCCATCTTAAGTGAGGTTTTTTATTTGTTTGTTTGGTTTTTTTTAACTGTATACATTAATGCTTTGTCTGGATAGCTCAAGATACAGTTAGAATTTATCCATTGTATGAAAGTCTGTGGTTTTATCCTGTATTTTTAAACACTTCTAACTAGAAAGGATTATGACAGTCAAATGGTAGAAAATACTATTAATTGATACTTTTAAGATGAAGCTGAGGATGATATAAATAACTAGGTTGACTAAGTAGCTAACTTAAGTAGCTAACCAAACAAAATTTTTTATTTAAGAACTGTTTTTTTTTAAACCGTATTTTAAATGTCCTCTGGTACTTCAAAGGAGTTCCTATTTTTCTTGTTTTAGTGAAGCAGCAAGTGAAGAAAGGGATTTGAGTGAGGTAAGTAGCGTTTTTTTTACAAATAAGTTTGTTTACTGTGTGTGAATTAGATTTTCTTAGAGGAACAAATGCTACTTCTGAAGTTTTTGAAAACTAGCTGAAGTCAGATTTCCAGAAAAAGGCTGGAGGCCATTTCAGAGCTCTAAGGTTTGGCCATTGTGAACATTCACAGCAGGGTAGAGTTACTACTGCATACTACCTACTGCATTTTAAAAAAACTGCTTACCAGATATTTCAGTCAGTAGATAAGGTATATGGGAGGTTACATACCACAGAGTGACAAACCGTTAATAAAATCCTTGAAATTGCTTCTAAAAAAAAAAAAGTTAAAATTCGGTTTGTCATGAACAATGATACAACTCCAATGTCTAAGGGGAAATCTGTGGATGAGTGAGAGTTCTGTTGGAAAGATTTCTTCAAGGAAACAAAATGTCAGTGAATATTTATCACTTTAATTGTATTGATGAACACTGTCACCTCTGAAAGACATGAAATCTGAATAACCAAGCAGTAACATTCAACAAAACATAGAGATTATCTCTATTACAAAGAGATTGTCATACATAGTGCAGAGTAGGGTTGCTAGCTGAAGTATATCTTTGCCTCCAGCCATAGGTCATGGGGGTACCCCTTTGAGTTGCAGTTGAGTCAAGGATGTAATATTTGACTAGGAACGTAATCTCCTATTCTCCAAACTGAATCCTGGAAAGTACTGTTTTCCTGTCTATCCACCATGCATAGGTACTGCACTGTTAGTTAATGCACTGTGGAAGTGAAGGAAAGATACAATCTATCTCATTCTTGTGCCTAAAAAAAAGAAAACACTCTGCTTCCACCCTGTTTCCTGTTGTTTTTTCCACAAAGCATAGTGTGAGTTCAGGTTCTTGGACTCTTCTCCTTTGCAATTCCTG